TCAAAGGGCTCACGACCTACAGGCTGAGAACTGCTGCTCTGAAGGCTAACGTGAGCCGACCCAAGCGATGGTATTTTCAATCGCTTGATACATGTGCAAGAGCCGGACAATGACTGAAGACGATGACAGAAGGAGAATCCAGGTGTTTATAGTAAGGTGTTGGGGGGTGGTAATACGGGGTATTCTGCGGACTGCGGGAAGAACAAACACACTTGGAGGAAATACAGCCAGAATGCTTCTTAGATGCGAGGATGGTAGGACTCCTCTCACGTCCTGTAAACACGTTATCAAGAGGGCCCACTCCCTGGAGAATGACATCCCAATGGCCAAGTCAAGGGCCAGCGAACAAGAGGAAGCTCCTCAATGAGCCGGGTTGGCACACTGATGGCTACAAGGGGTTCAAACCTAACAACAATTGTAAGGACCATCAGTGCCTGCTCCCCCAGCCCCTAACGACAGCAACGTATCTCTCGGGGTAGTTGGGAGGGTCCTGAACCTGGGGCAGACCACCCAATACCCAAGGTAGCTTGGATTTTCTTGTGCTGACTCACTAACTGGTAGTGAGCAGGATGTGGTGAAAGACATGCAAAACTGCTCCCTCCAGCTTAGCACACGTCAGCCTGGGTGGACCCTAGTTCTTGGCCACTCTGTCCCTGTCAGGGATGGCAAATGTGAAGGGATGCTCCCATTTTTCAGGAAGGCACCATGGGGCTGGGAGTGAGACAGATGCCAGCCGTATCCAGGAGGGAACCTTCGATGTGGCAGCGCAAAATGTGAAGTTGTTCACGACACATTAGTAGGTAAGCACAAGCAAGCCTGTGCATACCTCGCCTCGGGGGTAACACGGCTGTTGAATGAGGGATGCTAGAGTGGACGCTCTCAGCAAAGGCAAAGAAACCAACCGCGTTGTGTTCAAAGGTGTTGTCAGCCAAGGCCAACTCGTTAGATCTCATCATCTCTGTATTCCAACCCATACAATGTCCATCATTGAAGCCCATCTGCCTCACGGGGATGGCGTGAGAGAAGAATGAACAACACGCGGCACACAGACGTGCCACACAGTTAGGTCATTGGCTCTCTGTGAGTCTGGGTAGACTAGAGAAACAAATTCATGGACACGCATATGTATATAAGAAAGAGCTGCATATACAAGACCAATTGAATGTTGAGGAACCATCCCAGCCCAGTCCAGATCAAGTCCTTAAGTCCGAAATTAGCCCATATGTCCAATATCAACCTATAAAGTCCTCTTCAGTCTCACGAAATGCATGCAATGATGCCAAATGCAGATCACAGGCCAGTGGGTGGGAAGTCCTGTGGATCCAGTTGCATTAAAAGCATCTAAGTGCTGGCAGGGGTCTCCACGTGGCTCCTCCAGCTCCCAGGGCTCTGGCTGCATCAAGGTAGCTTCATGTGGCTTCTTGATAGAAATGTCTCACAGGGAGTGAGCCAGTGTCCCCCTCCAGCGAACTATTTATCTTCTAAGCACCTTCAAATGAGGTCATCAAGCTGTGACCTGATTGACAGGCTAACCCCCACCCCTTCACTCTTAAGCCTCAAATTGACAACAGATTTATGTATCTACCACACTCTCTTGCTGAACACTGGGCTGCAGCTTGACCTCCTCCCACGGACCCCCATTCCCCTAGGACGACTAATACGAGGAGGAGCATCTTGGGTCATAAATCTGCTTGCACTTGCAGGAATAAGTGGTTCAGGTTACCAGAGACATAGGAAACGGTGATGGTTGGGAACAGCTATAATGTAGCAGAGTACCATTAACTCACAAGTAGGCCTGGCGGCATGATGGTGACATGTGACATGCTTGGCTGCTAAGTGCCAGGTTGGTGGTTTGACA